ACGTTTCTCTCCCCGGGATCTGCAGCCTGGTCGTGTTGGGCATCGAGGTACCGAGCGGGAAGGGACGGGGCAGGCACCTCACCTCGGGGTGAAGGGACCAGGATGAGCTCTCCCAAGCCTCTGGCTGCCCCCAGAAAGCGGGTGCTCGCAGTGGGTCTGCCTCAGGGTATAAAGCCACCTCCCAGTGCTGGGGTGAAGGATGGGGGGGGTTGACCGCTCCCCCCTCCTGTCATTGCAGATCTTTGCCATGTTCTTCGCCTTCTGCCTTTATTACAACTTCGACTGAGCGGGATGAGCCCAGCAGAGACGAGCGCCGGGGGTGGAGCCAGCAGCAGGAGGGATGCGCCAGCTCCTGGTGTGTCAGGGCACAGCTCTCTCCTTCCCCGGGTGGGCAGGAGCCTTCCCGAGTCCTGTCTCTGCTCCTATGGGCACAGGAGGCTGGGCCTGGCTCTCTCCTTGGAGCAGGGGCAGGACGCGGGTTAGATTCCCTGCAGGCACCCGTATGGAACAGGAGGCTCTGGTAAGAGGTGTCCTGCCCCTCGTGCTCCTCCCACCACCAGAAGTTGTCCTTCACCCTCCAACCCCTTCCCAGCCGAGGGTTGCTGGTGCCCATCTCTCCTCCCCATCCCGCTGCCAGACCCGTGGCACCCTTTGGGCTCTCCTCACCCCACTGGGCTGGTGCCTGTCACTGGTGTGACCCCACATCCAGGCACAGCCACATCCTCGGACCTGGTCCCAGCTGCAGCCAGGGTCTAACACGGCTCTGGAGAGGCAGAGTTCCAAGAAGCAGGAGTCTGAGGCTTCCGGGATTCGTGGCCTTTGGTCACTTCAGAGTTAGGAGGAAAACAGGAGAGTAAAATAGAAACCAAAATACTCGGCGCTGGTGTCAGTTCTCTGCAAGCTGGAACTGAGCAGCTAAAGCAGCACTTCCCATTCCCCTTTTCTTCAGGATATTCCATAAACTCCACCCAACAAACCAGAGATCAAAGCTTTATGGTTTATTTGTACAACAGAACATTCCACAGGGAAAAAATGAACTAGAGGAGGAAAACCCACTGCAGGCGCAGTTCAGTTCCAGCACTGAGGCCCAGCTCTGCCAAGGGAAAGGGCTGGTGCCAACAGAGGGGACAAAACCCACTCAGGGTTCCAGGCGAGGGACCTTCTCCTTCTTGCTCAGACTATTCCCTTTCCTCTTCTGGGCAGCCCCTCCCTCGGGGACACTCGTGTCACTGGGGTTCGTCTTCTCCCCCAGAGCCTGTGAGAAGATGAGGAGTAAGTGGCTGTGGGAGCTGGGCCTGGTTAGTCTGGAGCAGCCCACGAGGGGATCCCACCAACAGCTCAAAGGTGGTGCCAGGAGGATGGTGCCAGGCTCTTCCCAGTGACAGGACAAGGAGCAGTGGCCAGAAACTGAACCACAACAAGTTGCACCTCAACACGAGGAAGAACTAGAACTTCCTCCCGTTGAGGGTGGCAGAGCCCTGGCACAGGCTGCCCAGGGCGGGTTGTGGAGTCTCCTCCTCTGGGGACAGCCCAGACCCGCTCAGACACGTTGCTGCGGGCCCTGCTCAGGGCGGCCCTGCCTTGGCTTCAGCCTCACTCATCCTCCCTGAGGAGCACTGTGAATGAACAGGTTTATTTGGAAGGATTTAGATTAAGATTATTAGGTTCCAATGAGCTTAAATGAAGTATAACCAGATGAAACCCATCCGAGGCACGGGGCAGAAGGGAAGAGGAACGCTGCACAAAGTGAAGGGCAAACTGGGATGAGCAGGGCTCTCACAGACAGAGCCACCCCAGCGAGCACACGGGGGGTTCTTACCCTCCTCTGCTGGCTCGCGTACTTCTCAGTC